GCAGCAGGCCCAAGTGTTAAATGCCTTAATGAAGAATTACTATGTTCCAGGGAAGATGCACAGTTAGATAAGGGATACAGATGCACTGTCCTCTGATGTGGGATTCAGAGCACACACTAAAAAAGCCATCGCAAAGCTGCATCTCAGAACTCAGCCCAGTGAGTGGAGAGCCAAGGCATAAATTCACCTAAGCAGAAGGCAGATGTTGAATCCTGGAACCAAAGGATTTCTATCCTCATCAGAGATCTGTCAGGTAGAGGGAGCTCCATTCAGCCACCCTTGGACTGTTGGCTCAGCCTGTGCCTAGTGAAGGCAGTGCCTTTTTTTCACTATGGCTTAAGAAATTCAAAGTCATTTTCTACTAGAGAAAGAATACGGAGGGTAGTCAAGACACCAAAACATCCTGCAGGGTTATTACATGGGAGGATGAAGAGAATCCTGTACAACTAATCGAATGTTGATGCGCTGATGGCTTCAAGAGACTGAAAGAACAGTTCATAGTTTTGAGATGTTTATCTCTGCGGTCCTACGGCAGTCTTATGCTGAGGATTAATGTGGTTTTATACACAAAGAAGATACAGGAGTTTCTACTTACTGAGAGGTTGCTAGGGATTTCCATACCAAACATTCAGCAAAGAGCAAGTTTTTTATCTATTACAGACCATTTTGCTTACTGGACATATCTGGGTATAGGTTTCCATATTCTTCTCTTCAGTACACTGGTTTTTAAGGTAGGCTAATGGCAAACAAGGTGTCAAGGCCGAGCCCTAGGAGTTGGCCCCCTAGGAGAAGCAGTGATTTCAAACAGATGGCAGTCAGCCTAGAGACTGAGCATGCCAGTGGGAGGCAGTGAGACATAAGGTGGGGCTTCCTGCCCAGTGTTCTCCAGCCAGGTACAGGACACTAGCCTCTTATCCCTAGGAAAGCTGACTCTGGTTCCCTCTCAGTGCCGTATCCTCTTCATATACCTAGTAAGAGACATAGGGAACACTGGCTTAGAGGGTTGCAACAGGCCTGGAGTCAGCTTGCTCTGGGTTCTAATTCTGACCTCTACTGCTTTTTTCCAAAGACACGAATCATTTGTTTAAGATAATCTTAGGTTATTTTCATTGAATCTCACTATAACTTATTCTCTTTTAATCCTTCTCAATAGGTCAGATAGAGAGTTTGTTTAGTACTGGAATCGAATGCCTCTGTAACAGTGGCTAGCGTCTCTTTTTCTTTCTTTCTTTCTTTCTTTCTTTCTTTCTTTCTTTCTTTCTTTCTTTCTTTCTCTTTTCTTTTTTCTTTCTTTCTCTCTCTTCTTTCTTTCTTTCTTTTTCTTTTTCTTTTCCTTTTTCTTTTTCTTTCTTTCTTCTTTTTCTTTCTTTTTAACAAAGAGAGAATGAATCTCTGTCCCAATAGTTTCAGGCGAGCAACTGTGCCAAGCTGGAATTCACCACATTGTTTTTCTTTCATATTTATTTGTATCCTTAACTTGTAATTACAAGTAATACTCATTTTTCACTGAGGTTAAGATATAAAGTTTAAAAATGAATCAGGTAAATAATGAGCACACAAAGATGAAAAAAAGCATGATGAAATGGGAATGAGAGTGTTTTGGGAAACACTGTACTTGCCCAAGGTCATATTATTTAGGCACTTGGTCATTTGGTAGAATAAAGAGGGCAGGCAGCCGAGGTCGGAATTAGCTTGGTCTGGAATAACTTGCAAGCAGAGCCATGTCAGTTGGTGCAAGTTCAGCCCCATTTTGGTTCCTGCTGTCTGGCTGCAGTGTGGCTGGGGAGGCAGATGTCAGAGTAGGTGGTGTTAACAAGGCTGGCAGGAAGTCCAGGAGGGAAGAGAGGTAAGTCTTCACAGTGGAATTCAGGCAAGCAGAGCAGGTGAAGATGTTAAGGAGAATATTTGGAGGATGCAAAGGTAGTTGGGATGAAATGGCAATGCTGGCTGGAAAAGCGAGCTCTTTTAGCAGGTTGGGCTGTACAGACACTAAGAGAATGGTCTTTGGGGTTTGACTGGGTTCTATATCAGCTCAATCACTTGCAACTATTTACCTTGGAATAACATAATGTCGCTGAGTCCTGGTTTTCTCATCATCTGCAAGACGTGACTATAGAACCCGTGTCTTAGAAATTTGGTAATGCTGGCTATTGTTATCAATTCCAGGGCTACAGTGTCTCTGCCTTTGCACATGTTATGAATTGTACAGTCTTGCTGAGTGAGCAACATCGGCATCTTAGGCTCTGCCTAAGACTGATTTGCTGCTGACAGCATAATGGGGAGACCTTGGAGAGGCCAAGTGTATCTAATGTTCAGATAAACAATGAATAATTCTTTAGGTCTAGGTATACTCAAATATTGCATGATAGCTCTATTTATTTAATTAAATTTAGGAAGTTCTATGAGCCCCTTACCATTGTATAAACATTTGGTGTGTAGATGCATTTTGAAAAGGAAGGGGGGGGTGTCAAAGAACCAGGTGGACCAGTTTAATGATCAAGTTTCTGGTAAAGAATGTTCCCTTTCCCCTTTGTCTCTAAAGGGAAAAAAAATTATATATATATATATATATATATATATATATATATATATATATATATATATGGTCCCTTTACAGATATCTTTCTTTATTTATTTTTAGAGAGGGAATGGGAGAGAGAGAATCTCAAAAATCTCAAACCCCACTGAGCACAGAGCCTGCCTCAGGGCTCAATCTCAAAATCCCAAGATCAGAACCAGAGCCAAAACCAAGAGTCTGACACTTCACTGACTGTGCCACCTAGGTGCCCCTTTGGTCCCTTTATGCTACAGAGCTGTGGATGCTCTTGGTGAAATCCTAGAACCCTACAGGTAAGTTCCTCCCCTCCAAGTTACTAGCTATGCTATTTGGCAACCCACATCATCCCTCCTTTTCTCCGTTCCCACATCTGACTGCTGGGAAAACTGAAGGTGATTTGTTTGGTTCATAACCAAAGACCTTTAAGGAGATATTAATGATAGTTAATTATAAAAAAAAATAAGCACTGTGGCAATAGCTCATACAGCAAGTTGGGATACCTATCCTTTTGGCAGGATTTACAAAATCAGTTGATTCACCCTAGGCTTCAAGGCAGGACAAAAGCAAAAACTGACAAAGCAAAGCATACAAGAAACTTGGGTAGTAAGTTTAAATCCTCTTCGGATGTCTAGAAAATGTATTCTATCAGAGTCCTACAATTCAGCAAGCCTCAGAAAAAGCCTAAAGCTTTCTTGCCTCTATTTGAAACAGCCTGGTAAGTTGAGTCTGAGAAACAGTGACTCCATTTGAATGGAACATTCCAAAATGACACAGTGGCTTTCATAAGAGGAATAGAAAGAGGTCTGCAGTCATGCCTGTAGGTCTGTGTTCTTAGGCAGACTAACTTGATCCAGAGGAAGGAAGGAAGGAAAGGAGGAGGGAGGGAGAAAGGGAGAGAGGAAAGAAGGAGAGAAATAAGAAGGTGAACAGTGGAAAAGGTTCAGAATAAATGATCAAAGACAGCATCTGCTAGCACCACACTATCCTTTCTGGCAACTGAATGCAAAGCTGACAAACTAATGACATCCTCCAATGTCATTCTCCAATGAAATAAGCATTCTAGAAAGCATGTGCCTGAGCACTACGACACACTGAACAATAATGGGGGATGGGTAGTTGATACTGGGTCTTTAAGTAATTAGAATACTTTAAAAAGGAGGCTGGAGAGAGAATGCCCAAGAAATGCAAAGGTATTAAAAACTAACTAAAAAAGATTTCTATTTCGAAGTGAAAACAATACAATGAATGTGTTTTCTACCTAAAAATCATGATCACTAAGTGGCAGATATAATTTTATATAATTCAGTTGCTACCAGTATTCACTAATTGGGGTTTTGATTTTGTCTGGTCTACTTTAGTAGCTTTTAATATAAACACAAGACTACATGAAGCAGGCAATTCCAAAAAGGAAAAATAAATTATTCAGGGGAGAGGTGCTTTATCCAAGGTCCATGAAAGGAGGTTTATTAAAATGCAGGATACACGGTATTTTTTAGTCCAGGAATGCCCCCATTTTTCATGGCAACCCCATTTATTTGTACATTTCAGAAGATCCATGAGCTCCTGGACATTGTATAAAAATTTGGTGTGTATACACATTTTGAAGAAGGAGACTGGCTAAAGCTTTCTACCAGAACCTTAAATCTGTGATCTCTCAACAGTTAAGTAGTCACTAATGCAAAGAAATAGTTGCATCATGTCTGATCTTTCTCTGTGCCTCTGAGCTTCCCAGTAGCCAAAACTAGAGGGAAACACAAAGCCATCCAGGTGGCTCAGTTGGTTGAGTGTCTGACTCTTGATTTTGGCTCAGGTTATGATCTCAGGGTTGTGAGATTGAGCCCTGCATCAGGCTCTGTGCAGTCTTCCCTAGATTCTCTCTGTCCCTCTCTCTCTGCCTCTCCCTTTCCTCTCTTCAACCAACTAACCAATCCATCAATCTTTTTTTTTTTTTTTTTTTTTTTTTTTTTAAAAAAAAAAAGGCCATTTACCAAAGAGATAAGAAGAGACTCAAGTAGAAGGCAGGCTGATCTGGTCATGAGGTAGTGAGCTGGCTCACAGCACCTTGCAGACTAAGGTGGGAATTTGAGACTTGATCTCTTGAAGGGTTTTGGCTTTTTAAATGGTCAGGTTTGCATTGCAAACTATCTTGGGCTGCTTGGTGAGGTTGGATTGGAGGAAGGCGGGACAGCAGGACACTGTCTTGAGGTGGTCAGGGGGAGGGGACTGGGAGGAAGTAAACAGCCAGAAGGGTCATGTGGAAGGTGGCAGGGAGGCAGAGGATACCCAGAGGTAGGAATCCGTATCTCAAGAGTCAGAATTTTCTCCATTCTGGCTTTTGTCTTTTGAACCCTCCTGCATTTGCTTGTCAGTGTCCCCTCCCTGGGCAAGGAGCTTCCTTGTAAAGCCCCATGGAAGGTGTGAGTGTTGATGAAGTGCCCAGTACCTGTAAAGTCACTGAAAGTAGGCCCGCAGGGCTGAGGCTTCTGCTGCCATTTCCTCCTCGGATCTCCACAAGGTCGGGGAGTCTTCCTCTTCCTTGTCATGCTTCTGGAGCTTTAGAGAAAACAATGGAAAAGGCTCATTAGTGGGTCCTTGGGATCCTGAACAAGTGTTATCGGCTGAACACAATTTGAAAATCAGAGGCTGGAAATTTGTGTCTCTTCATTGCATTGGTTTCCCAGATTTGAAAATGGGGAGGTGTCCCATAAGAATCACATTTCCAGCTTTTCTAATAAAATTACCAAGTTAGACTATCCTGTGGCCTGTTCCATGCTTTGTCTTGTCTGCAGAGGCTGTGAGTAGGAGTCACAGACTGGGGAGCATCTTCCCCTTTTCCGTAATCCCCACCACTCTCTAATCTTATGCTCCACTGGCATCATTCATTTATTTTACTCATTGGATACTAAAGGCATGGGTTTGCTGCCTACCCATGATCGTTCCTCCAAGTTGGCCTGTGGTTTACCTACTATTTTCTTTGGCTTAGTCTCTCTTATATGAGCTCTGAGCGGTTTTGTTCAGTGAGCCAAAATAGCCCATGCAAATCTGTGATAATAATACAAGAGCCATGAGTACTGAGTAGGAAATAAGAGCATATCCATTAAAAGGGGGCTAAGTAGGCAAATGGTTAAAAAAAAATTAAGAAACATCAAAAAATTAACAATTGCTCTAAGTCAACTGAATCATTTAAAAATTTTCAAATACATTTATTTTTTAAAGCATCTTATATATGTCTCAGATTTACATGGAATTGAAATTTTATTTACTCTCTATCAGAGAGAGGGTGTTCTTAGAACATTTCATTAGAAGAGCTCAATTTCCCCCCTTAATCTCTTGTTGCAATTCAGTTTTATTAACTAGATTTGTTATTCCTGTGTGGGGCTTTATCCACTGTAAAACGCTAAAGGTATAAATTCATTGGATGCACAGTGTAGTGTTTTGTAAGTCATTGGAAGAGATTGAGGTAAATGATTTAACAGCATCAGTGATGGCTGGTATTTATGATATGAATGGGTAGTTTCTTTCATGTGTATTATTCCATCCTGCATCATTTCATTGAATCTGTACCATAATCCATACACAAGGCAGGCACTACTTAGCTCCATTTTAACAAGGAGGAAATTGAGATCTGAGGAAGTTCATTTGCTTGTCAAAGATCATCCAGCTAGACAGTGGCAGAATTGTTCCCAGTGATTTCTGCCTTTTTATCTATCCTGGAGAAACTGCCATGCCACCAAAGAATGGCCAGCTCCACCCACCAGGTGCATTCCCCTAAAAAGGCAGATCCTTGAAAAGGATCTTGCTGCCTCAGCAAAAAGTCTCTCTACTACCATAGTGGAGTTTCCTATCTCAGGCCCAAATTACTGTAAATCTAACCCAGAGACATCCCATGCCCCCCACCCTCCACCTCTGTGGCCCTTTGCAGCAGATGGAGAAATTTCACCAGTGGTTCAGAACGAACTTTGACACACAAGGCAAAACAGTGCATAGCCTGGCTCTCCAGCTGAGCTGTATTTCCACTTGGGGGAAGTTTGAGCCTAAATGAGGTTCATCAGCATATAACTGGGCCACAAATCTGTTGATGAGGGTCATGGATCTTCCGTTCAGAATTTGGCTGCCAGCGCTCTGGTTTTACATTTTGCCACATAGATTTAATTCTCCTTAGTGGAAGAAAACCACATTAAGAAGTCATTTCCTTCCTTGCGGAGGCAGATATGACGCAACTGCTACAGGCGAGGCAAACGGGATTGCTATTTTTCTACTCAAGAACTAATTTTCATTTTGATACTAGCTTTAGGTCTGTTATAAATCCATCTTGTAACAATTCAATAGGATGACAAAGAACAATATATACAGCCCAGAAAATATAGCCTTCCCCACTTCTGGTGCTGGCTTTGAAAAGACACAGAAATCAAGCATTAAGTGGCTTCATCACCACAGATCATACCAGATGAATCGAAATAATTTAGAGCCTGTGAACGTTAATGCCTCCCTGGTTATTAGGCGACCGTCTGTTATTGTCATATGCCTTACAGATGGCAACGTTGTGTCGACACTTCGAAGTTGTTTATGCGAGGTAGGAAATAAATAAAACAAAAACTAATCATATTTGCAAAGCTCTGTTGTATATGGCTTTTAAAACTTAGAGGTTTCCCTCCTAAAGTCCCATATGGAAGCATGTGGCTTCCTTTAGAACAGCAGTGTTCAGTGCTGGCTGCCCACTGGAATCACCTGCAGAACTTAAAAAAAATACTATTGCCTGGGTCAACCCAGGGATCCTGATTTAATTTGTCTGGGGACAGCCTGCATTTGGCATTTTTTTCCAAACTTCTCACCTAATTCTAAGGTACACTTATGGTTGAGAAGCACTGAGTTTGGGAGAAATGTGTATGTGTATGGGTAGAACCCGTGTATATACAGAAATAAAACATTTTCCTGTAAACCCGTTGCTTGTCACTCTATCAACAGAATAGATAGAGTGCTTTGCAAACTCTGCTCTAGAACTGCTTTCCTTCGATTCTCATTCTCTCCAAGAGGTGTGTGGACCATGGGGCTTGTCTCAGCAACTCTAGGTTGCTTATCTAGTTCAGGAGCCTTTGAATGAATTTTCAGTGTCTGCAGAAATAGGGAGCCCAGGAACCATCCTGATGAACAAGACTTGTGTTTTAGAAGAGCCCCCAGGTTACTTGAAAATTAAGCATGCTATAGTTTGGAGTAAATTTCTGCTTCCCTGAGGCAAACCAAGAACCTGGTAGCTGCAAGCCATCACAGGCTAGCAGAGATCAACTCTAATGACCTCAAACAACAGTTTATCCAGCGGGTACTACATGCCTTGAGGAAGCTTTAATGGGGGGGAGTTCACTTCAGATGAACCTTCCAGATTAATTTAGGCTGTCCCCAGGAAAGGCAATGACTACTTATTAATGTAAAAGATATTTATTCTGTCCCTGCAATGGTAGGGGCTGGCCCTGGCACTAGAACACTGAAACAGGCCCTTTTTCCGTCTTCAGGGGGTTTCCAGGTAGGGAGAGTAGACACCAAATGGTTAATTATGAATGAGAGGGGCATCTCCAAATGATAGGGCTGCTGCTAGGAAGGCATGACCTAGTTCGAGGGGCTTTTGAGAATCAATTTAGTTTGGTAAAGAAACAGAGTGCTATAATAAAGAGTGATGGGGAAGAGGGAGTTATCTAAGGAATATCGAGCAATATCTCTCCAAGAAGATGAGGTTAGGGCCCAGACTTTGACAATGAGAGATGCAAATTCCTTAACTCTTTGTGCCTTAGTTTTTCCCTCTGTGAAAAGGGAGCAGTAAGAGTTGTGAGTAGTTATGTGCATGGCACATAGTAGTAGTAACAGCAACAGCAAATATTACCACTGACTACTTTTAATTACTAGGCTAGATATACTGTCCCCCCCGACAATGACCACTGACCAGCCCAGTGATGTTATATCCAGGAGTAGAAGTGCCTTTCCTATCTTCATGGTTCCCCAATGACCTGTGTCTTTTGGACCTTAAATACCCTGTAAAAGTATTAAGAGCTGTGGTCAAAATTCAGGCCCATATCAGCAAATCTACTGACACATTCAGTCAAAGGAGGAAATTTAGCCCCTCCAGCTCTAAAATGACTTACAATAATCCTCTAACAAGCAGGGTTGTTGCAAGGAGTGAAAAAGGTATTAATGGAGGCTCCTCACAGGTAAAAGTCAAGGTTCTAGAGTACAAAAGCATGTGGTAATGGTCAAATACAGTCAAAATTACCAGAGGAGCGTGGCTGCTAGAGTTGGCAAATAAAAATACTAAAACAAATGAAATCAGTTTGTTTCATTTATCTCATGAAGTATCTGGGACATATTCTTACTAAAAAGTATTATTTCTTTATCTGCAATTCAAACTTAAATGGGCTTTTTCCTGTATTTTATCTGGTAACTCAGTCCAGGAGACCTCTTTGAAAAAGCCCACACCAAGTACTTGGGTTGTGCCCACATCTGCTGAGCTGTGAAATTCTGGAAAAGATACAAGCTGTCCAAAGGATGAACAAATTCAAGGCCAGCATTTGGTGCACTCTAAGGCTTATTATTGCATGAAACAAAGAATAAATCACCAGTTCTCTTCAAATCTCCTAGCTATCACTTCTCAAGTGCACACTTTTTCACATTTTCACATCTCTGAAATCAAAGTGTGTTCCACAATCAATGGTGTGTCGTGATTTAATTGGCGGTGTTTTTCTTTGTTAGCAGTACATAAAAGAACAGTTCTTCTAGGTAACTATGTGGGATTCAGCACACTGCAATGCTCCATCTTTCCTCCTGATAATTACATCACATAAGTTAAATGGCCATGAAAATGCTCAGCACCACAGCACATTCCTCTCCTCCTCTCCTCCAAAGTGAAACTTTGGAACAGTTGACACAGTTTTCACAGGTACTTGGTTCTTTAGAGGAAAGTGCTCACCAAAGTAACAAAGTTTGCAAAAATTTGAACCAAAAAGTCTTTATTCACATTCAACAGAGTGAAGTCTGTGATGGTTCCTGGAAGAGTATTCCATTTCTATATAGCTTTGAAAAGAGATTAAAAAAATGTATCTGCAGTCATTCCACTTTATCTGCCTGAAATGATTTTGGGGAAGGTAGTGTTAACAGGATTTCTGACTGAAGTACTGATATGCGTCGATTTTGACATTCCACTCCTTCCTGGGCATTGAGCGTGCTATCAGGAGGTATGTGGGGTAAAGATTAATTCCCTGATGTAATGCTCAAACTGCCTTGGCTATTGACTTTTTTATAGCTCTGTAATGGAATACAGTAGGAAGAATGATTCACAATAATTTAAATGTTTTTCAGAATTTGGAACTAACCTGTAGTAAAATGCCAAACGGTCTTCCAAGGGTGGGGGTAGGGGGGAGAGAAACAATTTAATACCACTTCTTAAAGAAGCAAGTGGCCGAATATAAACTTGAGTGTTGTTATAAAGTACATTAATATATTTCATTGTTATTAGTTTTGTAAAACAACACAAAGAGCAGACAGCTTAAACTATTTCTTATGGGTTGATG